TAAAATACCTCCTTTAGTTTTTGCAGTGAGCCTGTTGCAGTACAAGTCTGTGTAAATGCCATTAACCTGAACCACTCTTTTGTTTTTTTACATGTGTGGAAAAGGGGACAGAGTAAAACCCCCTTCTGACCGACCTGTGTAGCAGATGGTAATTGTGCACTTGGGCATCTTCAGAGAGGCTCTTCTGGAACAGCCTCAGCTTGGGAAGCACAATCTGGAGCATAGGAATGGAGTTTGCAGTGCATGGCCTGGCTCCCATAAAAATACTGAAGGCCAGAGCCAAAGGCCTCCACCCAAATACCCGAGACGTTACTAATTTGATAAGAGGCCTTTTCCTGTTTTTTACTGGGCAGTTTCTCAAGCTCTCTGCACTCTGCGCTCCCAGGGAGCAGTTCTAGTGGCACAGGACGAGTCTGTGAAGCAAAACAAAGGTGCAGTTGCAGCACAGGTAGGTGAAACCACTCGAGAATGGAGAGTCAGGGCAGGGAGTGTGTGGGAAATGGGCTGGCAACCAGCCTGCACTCACAGCTGGGTGAGTGCTTGGCTGGAACTGCAGGGAAGCATTTGCTTATGACAAAATATATGCTGGAGCCTCAAATAATGTTGAATGGCCTGGAAAAAATTGCTAGGACTGGGTCCTGAGCAGGACAGATAAACACAGCAAATCAGGACTGTGTCCCTCACACAGGGGTGTGTCCTGGAGAGTCACACAGAAAACCTGGAAACACGTTTTTCCTCCTGCTGCTGTATCTGTCAAAGCAAATGTGCCTGTTGGGGTTTTTTCCTGACTTACAGACACTGCTGGGGGGGGGGCACTGGGCACTGGCACTTAGGATGACTGATGCAGTTCCCTCATCCACTTCTCTCACAAGCAAGTCAGAGTCGGGCCCTCGGAGCTCTCACAGCCACCTTTCCTGACTCACAGTTGTCTGGGACTTGCTCCTGTCACTGAGCTTTGTATTTTGGGGAGAAAGGTTGGAAGGTCTTTATTTTACACTGATGTATTTCACAAGTGGTTCCTTCACTACACACTTTCAGCTGGTGACAATTATTTTTCCTCTGAGTCCCAAAAGGTTTCGAGTAGACCCTGAATTAAAAAGATGAGGAAATCACCGCTGCAAAATTGAAGTTTCAAAACTTAATGTTTTTGCAAAGAGGAAAAATAAATGTGTGTGCCCTTTGGGTGGTCTTCTCAGCATTCCTGGCCCTGACACAGGAAATATTTCCCAAGCCCCCATCCTGTTTTTTCCAGGAACCTTTGCCAGACTGCATGAAACTTCTGAAACCAAGGCAGTAACAGCATGGCACTAGAGAACTCCTTCATACTGTATTTTATTGAAAGCACACAATGCCCAGGTGACACATCCTGAGTACACAGGGAAAGGGAGTAAATTAAGGGGAGTTATGTGGGGTTTATGGTGCTTGTACCGGGAGTGGGGAGGGAATAAAGTTGCCAAGCTGTGGCTGTGCAGGAGCCTGCAGGTATGAGCTGCTGCCTGGGCTCCTGGTTGGGTCTGGGCACCACAACTGCTGCCTGGAACACCCTGTGAGGGGACAGGGACACAGCACCGTGTGCTGCTGTGGCCACAACACCACCAGGGTGCAGAAAAGGCGTGTCATGTTTAACTAAACTCCCCAGACAGTTCTGATTAACAAATATCCCAATCAGAGTTCAGGCACAGCTGATGATCAACACGTTGATCTCAGTGTCTGAAGACCCACTGGTTTTAATGCTCCTTTCTCTTGGCCAGACATCTTGCATGTTTAAAGGGTTGTTCCTGACTGATGTTTCTCAGCTAAGCTGTTGGGGAATTCACCTGCCTGCAACCTTAGTTCGGGGGAAAAAAAGCAACAACCCAGGGAAGATTTTAATCCTACAGTCAAGCTGTGAGTATGCATTTATTGATGTACCTTTAGAGGACAGTCTGCCTGTTTTCATGGTTAACATGTCTGTCCCAGCACAGAATGTTACTGGTGCAAAAAATAATGCTCTGAGAACTGCTGCACTGACCAAGAGCAAACAAAAAATGGCTGTGGGTGAGGAACCCCTAATGACAACTGAGTTCAGTAATTCTGGGACAGCCAAGAGAGATCCCACGCCAGTGGAACCACTCCTGGTTCAACTGGTAAGGGTTTTTACTGCCATCTACTGTACAGATGCTTCAAGCCAGAGGGGAATAAAAATTCTGTGTCTTCCTTCTCAGATGAATGCAATTGCTTCTGAAAAGAGAGAGGGAGAAAGCACAGCTCGGTTTCTCCCTAACGTTCCCTTTATTTATCTTCTTTTCAAATTCTGTGTTGAACATTCCCTTTATTTATCTTCTTTTCAAATTTAGAAAGATTTTTAAATCTTTCCTGTGCTTAGAGTAGAAACATCAGGTTTGATCAAGAGAATCGTTATCCTTTTATCTTTGCGTTTTCCATCAACATAAATTGCTCACATATCTATGTATATAGATAGTATTTTTAATTGCTGCTTTCCTATTTTTCTTCTTTTTATCTGGTACAAATATAAATTACACTCCTTTTTAGCAATGTTAGCTTTTGTCTGTTAATTCTATTTCATCAGAGTCAACATTTTTAGACCCAAAAGTTACAACCTTTAATTATTGGAATCCAGCTGGAATAATGGTAATCCATTGGATTAATGGAACATTTCACTGTTTTGCAATAAATCCAAACAAAGGAAAGGAGCTTCTTTACACTGTTACTTTCTGCACTTTCGAAAGCCCCTTCCTACACACTCAAGCCTCAGTCTGGGTCTGTGGCAGTTCCAAATGGTATTTAACAGGATAACAGAGCAGAGCTGGGCTCATGACTTATGGACAGTGACAGAAGTAAAATGTTGTCTTTTTTGTTAAATTAGAATTGGATTAGCCTAGTGCTCACCACCCTCATTTTCTGTTGCTATCAGTGGGAGTAGGAAACCCTCAAAACCTCGTAAGCCTGATAACTCGAAGTTAGCAAAACCAGCAGCTTAGAGGAAGAGACAACAGATAACTGCAGAACATGTTGTGCTTCTGGAATTAACACAAGGCTCTTCATTAAGGCAGTCAGAGGAAAATGGCAAGCTCTGTTTCAGGCCCATTCAAAAGTGTGATGCCAAAGAGCGTTCCTGCTGAGCAGATTAATACAAGAATGCAGAGAATCCTGCTGCAAAACGCTTCCAGAGACACTTTAACACAGTGAAAATGAGTTACAAGAAAGTAAATACAGCGTTGTGTACTAGTTGGTTATGAAGCTGTACTGTGATAAGCAATGGAGTTTTATTGAGAAAAGACTAATGAGCAATAAGTGCCTGCAGTGAAAAGGGTAACATCTGGTCTGCATTCGACTTCACACATGAGAGCTGTTTGGCCTGACTTCCTGCCAAATCCCACAGCGTTTGAGATCATGGGACATGAAGAAGATGGAAATCCCTGGGTTAGCACCTCAAAACACTGAGCCACACTTGTGAGCACAAGAGGGGAGTCTGTCCCTTCAGAGCTCTGCATGTGCCTGCTGTGCCACGGGCACTGCCCTAGGCTGAGACTTGACACGAAAGCACTGGAAGATTCAACGTTCGCAAGCAATTCCTGACTAATCAAGATCAAATATGCTCATCTTGCAGGTAAAAGCTTTTATTTGTGCTCTAAAAACACTTCTTCTCTAGGAGTAAGGCTTTGGTTAGGATTCAGAGGGATTTGACTCACTAAATACTGCCTGTGACTGCATGTGGACACAGGGGTGGCTTTTGGTGGTTAAATAAAGGAACCAGCTGTAAATCCCCTGTGCTGGTGAGGCCACATCTCCAGGGCTGTGTCCAGCTCTGGGCCCCTCATGACAAGGACATTGAGGCAGAGCATGTCCAGAGAAGGGAATGGAGCTGGGAAGGGTCTGGAGCAGCAGGAGCAGCTGAGGGAGCTGGGGGGGCTCATCCTGGAGAAAAGGAGGCTCAGGGGGGACCTTCTGGCTCTGCAATCCCTGACAGGAGGGGGGAGCCGGGGGGGGTCGGGCTCTG